GTACATGTAACTGCTATGTTTGGTAGACATTTTAGGTATTATTTGACACTTGAAGACCAGGATGCATATTGTATGAAATGTTGCTGTTGGGAATTTTGTCGGTATTCCCCTTCCAGCCAGAGCAAAATTTGAAATAAATGAAATGCAATGAATAACAAACTGACTGAACTACCAGCCCTATTTTCCTTACAATGTTTATTCAGTATTCATTGTTCTGGTCTTTGGGTTTGTTTATCAACGTGCAATAAGGCCAAGACTGTCAGCGCTTTCCAATGTACATGTACTTGTGTCATGTAAACCTGTCATCGTACTAAAACCTATTCTTTGAATATTTCCTCGCTACATTCTCAGCTCAATTATGCATCTTTTCATAATTCATATAGAAAGTTTAAAGTGTATTTTAAACTTGAAAGTTTCAAGTCGTGAAAGTAAAAGTTTGGTTTTGCAGATTCTCTCTAGTAAAACAATAATATCTTCCTGTTTACAGGTACCTTTGTTGCATAAAGGAAGAGTCAAAAAAGCACACAGGTAGACAGCCTGAAGTCGTTAGAGATTGGCTGAAGATATTGACAGGCTGAAGTTAGCATTGGTGCTTAAGTTGACAGAGGTAGACTGGCTGATGTCGGCTGAAGTGGATACGCTGACAGTAGAGGTAGACAGGATGATGTCAGCAGAAATAGATGTGCTAAGGTTGGCAGAGGTGGTCACGTTGACAGTGGAGGTGTACAGGCTGACATCAGCAGAGGTGGTCACGTTGACAGTGGAGGTGTACAGGCTGATGTCAGCAGAGGTGGTCACGTTGACAGTTGAGGTGTACAGGCTGATGTCAGCAGAGGTGGACAAGCTAATGGCAGAGGTAGACAGTCAGAGAGTTGGAAGACCAGCTGGCATTGGATATGATGATTTGTGATGACGTGTTATTAATTTGAGATTTACCGGTAGAGATTTAAAAGTGCTTCCATCTTGTCATTCCTTAAGTCTTGATGGATTCATCATTTTTGAGACAAATTGCCTGCTGTTGTTCAAGAAGCTCCCTCTGAATACTTTTTTCAAAGGTGACCTGCATCAATGGGAATTTCCTAACTTTGTCGAAGTGTAGTTAATTGAGATTTTGTTCATTTTGCATCAATTACTTTATGTTGCATTTTCATTAGGAATATAAATTTGTTTAAATGACTGCAGTGAACGTTGTACACAAAAATTCAGCTGCTTGTTAAGTTCCAGTGCTGTAAAGTTCTTGAACAGTTTAAGTGATTCAGCCCAATACTGCTATTCTGAACACCTCTGTACCAAACATTGGGGTATACTGAATATTCTCCTTGGCTCCCGAGCTCTCCATACCAAACATTAAAAGGTTGCTTTAAAAGGAAATACATTTAGGACTGATGAGAATACTTACAAGTTTAGGAAAATCTGTCTTGCAAAAGATCAGTGCCAACACCGTCAGTATCTATGTGTTTAATTTGCTTCAGAAATTGTATTTGATGATGTTTATTCTTGTAATAATGCTGCATCATCTTCTCAGGATTTTCTTTTAAATGTATGTGTATACATGTAGGTATTACCTGTGGTGGCTCTTGGCTCCCAAGTCTATTAGCCCATGCCTCATAATTAATATCTCCCCATTCACTCCTAAAACAAGATTCAATCCTAATGTAATCAAGAGTAAACAGGCACTACTCACTCAATTCTGAGTTCAGCTATAAGCTATATAAGCCTGCAAATCTCAAATGCAAAGTTTGAATTTTAATTGGAACAGAAAAAGAGCAACATTTTGAATATGTGCATTAATGCAAATTGTTTGGTTGACTGTCATCTGTTTTGGGAGTTAAGAACAACTAATTTGTCCATGGTTTTACGTGTATTTAATGGTGTCCATTCTTTGATTTTTGTAATCATGCCAAGAAACTGAAGTGAGACTAGACGCCATCCAGTCTATGCTGCTTTCCTTAGGATGTCACAGCGATGTGAATAATACCAGTCCCCACTACGCAGCTGTTTGAGAAGCTCTTCCATCTCAGTGGGTGCCTTTCCGCCCATGTATTCAGTGACCGGGGAATCCCATCCTGGACAAAGCACGTAAGGATTTGAGTATGGCGTCTCGTCACTGATCCTCTAGCCATTTGTGGATGTTTTCCTACCAACATCACCGCTCCACGGATAGTGCTGTTCTGTTGTTTCTCCACGAGGCCTTGATGCAGCCCCCTCGTAGATGCCCAACCATCCTATGTGTGTTACCTGTCTCTTGATGCCATTGATACCAGTTCCTAATGCTACTTTTCTGCAGTGGTCCCTTCTGTGCTAGTGTTGCATCTCGTGAATGTGAGTAGTGTATTTACTAAATCAAAGCTTTCCACATTATGCATTGCCCAAACCGTTGTCATAAAAGTTGTTCAAACTACGCTTGAAATTACTATTTGAAACAGAAATCCAAGAGAATACTTTATTTTTGGCTCGGTCCGCATGTGGATTGGGTTTTCAGTCCCTACCTGATTCCGTGGGTTTTACCCAGAATATTCCTCTGGGTTTTTCTTCTCATTGTGTCCTCACAGCAGGTTTCTTCAGGCTTGCGAGCTACAGTGCCAAGTGTACTTTTTAGGAATCCTTGGTGTCATTATCAGAAATAAATAATACTAATAATTTCCCAAGAACCTTGTGGGTAGCCATTTCATATTCAAGAAACTATCCTTTTGNTTGTGTTTAATATGCCTCGAAATTGTATTTGATGAGGTTTATTCTTGTAATAATGATGCATCGTCTTCTCAGGTTTTTCTATTAAATGTACGTGTACAGGTATTACCTGTGGTGGCTCCTGGCTCCCAAATCTATTAGCCCATGCCTCATAATTAATATCTACCCCATTCACTCCTAAAACAATATTCAATCCTAATGTAATCAAGAGTCAAGCCCACAACTACCCATTAGACCACTTTCTCTTATCTCTTTGTAAAGACATCAGATTGTCGAGATAGTGTCATTAGAATCAATGTGTTTTTATTGTACAAGGGGTTAGGATTTTTAGGTACAAGTACATGTACCTGTTACATACATGTACATGTACCTTATAGGGTGTAAACTTCAACTTGGGCAGATATCCTAAAAAATTGGTCTTCAAGATGCACTACTCACTCTATTCCGAGTTCAGCTATAAGCTATATAAGCCTGCAAATCTCAAATGCAAAGTTTGAATTTTAATTGCAACAGAAAAAGAGTAACATTTTGAATTTGTGCATTAATGCAAATTGTTTGGTGACTGTCATCTGTTTTGGGAACAACAAATTTGTCCATGTTTTTACGTGTGTTTAATGGTGTCCATTCTTTGATCTTTGTATTCTTGCCAAGAAACTGAAGTGAGACTAGATGCCATCCAGTCTATGCTGCTTTCCTTAGGATGTCACAGCGATGTGAATGATACCAGTCCCCACTACGCAGCTGTTTGAGAAGCTCTTCCGTCTCAGTGGATGCCTTTCCACCCATGTATTCAGTGACCAGGGAATCCCATCCTGGACAACGCACGTAAGGATTTGAGTATGGTGTCTCGTCACTGATGCTCTAACCATTTGTGGACGTTTTGCTACCAACATCACCGCTCCATGGATAGCGCTGTTCTGTTGTTTCTCCAGGAGGCCTTGATGCATCCCCCCTGTAGATACCCAACCATCCTACATGTATGTGTGTTACCTGTCTCATGATGCCATTGATGTTATGCTCTGGCATACGCCTTGCCATTGATACCAGTTCCTAGTGGCTACTTTTCTGCAGTGGGCCCTTCTGTGCTAGTGTTGCATCTCGTGAATGTGAGTAGTGTATTTACTAAATCAAATCTTTCAATATTATGCATTGCCCAAACAGTTGTCATAAAAGTTGTGAACTACGCTTGAAATTGCTATTTGAACTAGAAATCCAAGAGAATACTTTATTTTCGGCTCAGTCCGCACGTGGATAGGGTTTTCAGTCCCTATCTGATTCCATGGGTTTTACCGAGAATATTCCTCTGGGTTTTTCTTCCCACCTCAAACTGTAACTGCTTCTCATTGTGTCCTCACAGCAGGTTTCTTCAGGCTTGCGAGCCACAGTGCCAAGGGTACTTTTTAGGAATCCTTTGTGTCATTATCAGAAATAAATAATAATAATAATTTCCCAAGAACCTTGCGGGTAGTCATTTCATAATCAAGAACCCATCCTTTTTCTGAATTCAGTAGAAATCTATTTGCCTTTTTAAAATTTTTGTTTGAAGTTGTATGGATTTCATATTGAAATAGGCTTTTTGGTATCAACTTTGGAAAAACCAGTGAACCGAAGCATCTAGAAAAGCTGTAATTTTTTTAAAATTTTCTGTCCTTTTTTGAGCTGTCCAGTGAAAGTGCAGAAGACAAATTTTTTTTTGGTGGACATGCATTCCTTTTTTTCTGTTTTGCATTTTTACATATTCTGTCAGTCTTTTATTAAAGTCTCACCCTGACAGGTTAAGTTTAGCATGCTTGAATAAAAGAATAATTTGACGTTTTGTTAAACCCTTGCTTTTACTGACCCAATTTCAAATGCAGGTATTGTGTGGCTTCTCACTGCTTGCTGGCTATTGAGGGACATACATCATTGGCTTCCAGTAAACTAAGAACTAGGCAGTTGATCATCTCGGTTATCTCATCAAACAGCAGTTTTAGATGCCTCACAGATTTCACATTTGAGGTGAGCGAGATTTCTTTTGTAATTTGAGAAGAAGCTCAGCATTTGGGAAAAAGAGTGTAATTTCATACACGATGTTTGTGAAGTCTGTGAACATTTATGATGTGTCAGACACAAACTTGATTGGCCTGCATTGGACGGCATTGTGACAGAAATATTGTCAAATATTATACCACTGACTTTCAAGAGTTGATACTTATGGCGGTGTTGAAAGTTGGTCGATAATCTTGCTTTTTCAAAAGTCAGGGTTTCAGCTGTAAATAATACCATCAAGCGGTTTTCTGGTAAAATTAAGAAGTTGCAATCTGTAGCTTCTTTGGATTTTTTATCATATGATTTAATAGTTAACATGAATTGAAAAACGACTTCCTCTTGGTGTGAGCCTTTGAATGTGGGATGGATTGGGGATGTGGATGTGGGTTTTGATTCTGTTTTGAAACACAACTGCAAAAACAGCAGCTGAAAACCAAGAGATGAATAGGCAACTTTATTTTTTGAGGTCAACGAAAAAAGGACAGTCCCAAAATTTTACTTTATTTTCAGTTTTATTGAATATTTCCAGCAGATGAATCATTTATAATTGACCTTGCCAATTGGTATACAAGCTTAAAGACACGAATTTCACATTGCCGTCAGATTTAGTTTATTAGACCTTTTTTGACTTTCCCTTTCTTTTGCATCATATTTCTCCAAAACATTTTACCCACTGTAAGAAAAGAAAAAAACAAGTTGTATGAAAGGAATCCACATTGTGTACCACATTCCCTCCTCAATAGTCAGTCTCAGCAGGAAGTGACGTATTCAGGATAGTTACTGCACCACAAACTGTCTTATCGTGTGTACAAAGTCTATGGATGGTACATGTATGTCACTTTGTGGTGAACCCAACAAATTATGTATCTTTTTGCACAGAAACCTTGCAGTGGACTTTAATACTTGAAGTACTTTGTAAAGAACTATTGATTATGCAGACATCCCATGTCCCCTTTATATTACCTTTGTTGCAGGCAGAGATACATTGTAGTCACAAATGCAGAGAGAGATGTCGGCAGAGGTAGATGTGCCGAAGTCGACAGATGTGCCAAAGTCGGCAGAGGCAGACAAGCTGATGTTGATTGAGGTATGTTGTGGATATGATGTTTTATATCTGTTATCCCTGATATTTTGGGGACAAATTGCCTGCCATAATTCCAGGATGCTCACTCCAAACGTAAAAAACATGGACGTCAATCCTCCGAAGCTGTAGCCTAGTTATTTCAGATTTAATTCATTTTGTCAGTGTTTGTTTTATATTGCATTTTTTAATGTATGAACCCTGTTTTACCGTTGTAACCAACATTGCAACGATAACTCAAAAACGGCTGTGGTAGGTTGTGAAACGTCATCATTTTTTTTAATTACAGTGTGGAAGACACCTAGATGGACATCAACAGGAAGAGAGACAGATGGAAGCGAGATGACTATCCTGAAGGTTAGGCTCGGAATGTGTTTATGGCTGATATACCATAATGCACAAGAGGATATATAGATTCATGAATTTATCTTTAAAACTGCTGGTTTGGAATGCACTGTTTCACAGCACTTTGGAATGATGTGGTCCATTCATACCATAGTAGATATTTTCAACAGGGCTAACCCTGAATATATGCTTTTTAACATTCACTATTTATAAAAAAAACAGGTGGAAAATACCGAGCGTGGCAAATGGAACAAAATCCTTGCAGTTTGCATAATGCCTTTATACATTGTTTATTCAAGCTTTCTGGATTCACTCATCAATGGGGAGTTAGACAGTGTAAAGGAAAGAACAGATTATAGTACTGGTAAGTTTTTTAACCCGTTTTCGTCAATTAAATGGGAATCAATAAAAGCATGTTAGATGTCCTTCACAATTTATAAACTTTCAAAAAATGCACTGTTTGTCAAATACTTTGAAATCCAGAATGTTTGTCAACTCTGCAAATATATTGTGATTTAGTATGTATTTTTTCTGTTGACTACAGGTGGGGAAGATCATCCGATGCATGAAGATGAGTGAAGTTTCTTTCAACTCAGAAGAATGAACATCAGTAAAGCAGCATGAAGAAAACGAAGACCTTGCTTGTGTTTCTTTGTACTTGAATTGAGAC